GATGGATGGATGATAGATGGATGATGATGGATGGGTGGATGGATGGATGGCTGGATGGATGGATGATGGATGGCTGGATGGATGGATGGATGGATGATGGATGGTGGATGGATGGATGGATGGATGATGGATGGATGATTGATGGATGGATGAATAGTTTTCTAGTGTGTTTACACCTGGACCAGTTTCCAGTTAAAGGAGAGCGCGCGTGCAGGAGCTGGGATTGAGACGCCCTCAACGATTCTTCGACTTCTTTGATATAAAAAACTTTAGCGGCTTCTCATCTTTGCGACTAAAGAAAGGAAACAGACTTTCTGGAGACGTCCTCGTGACTGTCGGTTGTTCTGTTAGCATTGGTGGCAACAACCGGCAGTTTTTCTCCTCCTCTGGGTGGAAACGTGAACACGGCTTGAACGTAGCGTGAACTCTTGTTAGCATAATTTATCTCCTCGAACTACAAAGAAGCCAAAGTTCTTCCGGACACCTTCACTGCATTAAACGGTCCAGACGCTGCACTTCTGCACTTTAGAGTTTTCCTATTTGCAGGATGTTTCTAACAGGAAACGACAAATTGTTGACATTTTTAAATGGATTCAGTCGTTCATTTCAACTTCAAGATGCATGAAAAGCTGGATGAACACCTCCACCCACCCCCACAGGACACATTTACTGCATTTGTTTGGTGTCAGGCGAAAGGTTTAGACTGCTTCTGTGCAAAATGATCTCATCAGGAGTCACTTCAGGTCTTCTTCATTAAAACCTCCTCTCTGCAAATCAGACTTTCCCGCCATTTGAACAACCTGAGAGTGAACGGACGGCAGAGGAACTGAAACTGAGGGAGGCGTCCTGTGGTAGCCTCGGGGAGCGTTAGCTGCGGCTCACCTGTGAGCAGAGAGGCGTTCAACGGCTGATCAGCTGTTCTCTGTGCACCGAAGCTTCTGTCCTCTCTGCTCCTGAGAAATCAGCACAATTACAAGGTCCCGTTAAAGATTAATCCCGTTGGTGTGGGGCTCTGGCTGAGCGATGAACTTTAAATAACAGCCGACGTGACTTTGATGGAGCGGCGCCGCGAGGCCCCACCAGACGTTTCAGCCACGATGCATAAATATCAGAGCGAGCTCTGAGGATCAAACGCTGAGGAGACGACTCATCCTGCAGAGCAGCCTTTACTCAACGTTCCTCTGTCACTACTATTTTTCCTTCGATGTTCTCTGACTCGGAATCTCTGCAATCTCAGATTATGTAACGATTTATGTCTACAGGTTCGCTCAGCGAACTACATTACCCACGAGCCTTTGCTGCAGCACCAACGAGTGCAAAAGAATAAAGCCAATTCAGAATGCTTTGGTGTTTAATTTGCTAACACTTTAATAAACTTGCAGAATTGATCTGAAAGTTAAGCTGTTTATGGAATTACAGATTTTTAATCCAAATCACGTTGAGCTAAAATATTTTTTCTAGTAATGTTTTTAGATTTTAATTAATTAAACTCAAAGTTAGATGGTGATGCAACAAATACCTCCTGTACTACGTAGTTGTTCTATTCACTTTTTATAGTCTCTGCTTCACCCAGTAAATCCCAGAACAAACACAGTTACCAAAGCAGCTGCTGTAGCGTGGTGGTCAGTGCCGTGGCCTCATAATCCCGAGGCTGCACGTTCGAGCACAGGTTTTGTCAATAAGGACATCCAGTGTAAAACAATCACCAAACCTTTCGTGTGAGTTTGCTCGCTGTGGCAGCCTCCCAACGAAGAGAGCAACCAAAAAAACAACAACTAACAAACACAATAAACACAATTTCCAGGTGCAAACATCTCAAGACACGTTCTAGAACAGGGGTCTGCAACCTGCGGCTCTGGAGCCACATGCGGCTCTTTGGTCCTTCTGCAGCGGCTCTTTCAAGCTTTGAACAAAACTAACATAAAACTGAATTGTATTGTTTGTTATACAAACAACAAAAAAGTTCTAGTTTTAGCAGTTTTCCTGTCATTTCTTTTGAAAATACTCACTTTAACTTTTTGCTTTATTTCCATACTTAATTATTTTTCCCACAATTGAAAAAAAAATCATGTAGGTCTGCATAGTTTTATTTTATTTTATGCTATTTTCCCCCTCTTTACAATAATCTGGTCTTTTCATTTGTCTTAAATGGTAAAAATATCAATAAATGTTAAAAATCATTAGATATTTTTAGCTTTATAATGTCATCCCTACTAGCCACACATGCCTCCTCCAACAAACCTAAAGTGGCCCATGCACAATTTGCACAGGTGGAGCAGCAGGTAAGGATTAGGTGTCTTGTTCATGGGCACGGCAACTCATGGGCATGTCAGAGAATCGAACCTGCGATTTTCTGGTCCTAAGACGACTGTCCTACCGCTGTACCACGGTCACCTTCATCAATCATCATCCCTGTGAAGGTCACACACGTTGTTCGTCTTTTTACGCCTTGAAACAAATAAAAAGAATCCAGTTAAAAATGTTCTCACAAACAAGACATCCCTCGTGTCAAACTAACCTCTGCCCTGTCCTCTTTAAATGTCTTCAATCCGTCAT